AATTTTAAGTGATTTGGCTAGAAAACAAACTGTTTACACCCCATATACAAACAAATTAGCAAATTTTCTTTGATAAATTTTATATTTTTATTCTTTTATGACTAACTCATTAATAAGTTGAAATGCAGATGATGAGCTAAATTTATATAGATATTAATATGAAATTTTTGTCTTGATATTATTGATATTTGAATTTTATAAAATTTTACATGGTTTTCATTATCTGTGCAGAAAAAGATTTGAATGCATAAAAGAAGAGATTTTGGGATTAATTCAACATCTTTTGAAAGTTGAGGGATTGAATTATAAGAAGAAGGGGGCCTCTTTGGGATGTAAATGTATGAATCTTGAGTTTTGGAATCTAAGTACTCATTGTACAAAAGTTGGAGGATAGATCTGCTATTTTACCATTGAAGAAATTGCAAAAAAGGACAAAATACCCGACACAGGTGTAGTGTCGACACATATTGGCGGCGTAACACCATGCGTTAAACATCTAGAATTAGACTTTTTGTTTTATATTTTGTGCCTACACGTAATTGGAAGTATCAGTCCCATCCGTTTAGCTCCAACATTCAAGTTTTCTATTTTATTTCAAATCTTACTTTTATTCTAATTAAAGTTTCTAAAATTTTATAAATATACATTTAAATTTAGAATTAAGAGTGTTATTGGAGGTTGGTGGCAGCCTTTTTTGAGCATTCTTGAAGATTAAATTAAGGATCCATAGACCATAAGAGATCAAAGATTTTAATTTTCTTAAATTGAGTTTTATTCTTCTTTATTATTTTTATGCTCATAATTATGATTTCAGATTTTATTAATTTTATTATAAACTAATTTATTTTATTAAGGTTATAATGTAACATAATCAATTCAATATAGATTTTATGATTTTTATACTTTCAATTAAAGTTATTTACATAAAAAATTTATATTATTGAACTTAATGCATTGGAAGCCTGTGATTTATGCATGAGTAAATTAGATCAATAATAATATAAACTGTGTATTAGACTATGAAACCAAGAGGTAATTAGGTCATATATGGCAGTAGAAGAATGGTAGTGAAGGAAGATAAGAGAGTTAGTAGCTCTCTTTTCTTAAATTAGAAGTTTTCATAGAATTTAATACTAATTAGTTTGTTTAAAATTATATAAAAATAATTTAACAAACAAGTGAAGGATTAACTTGACTTGATAAAACTAATTAATTAATTTAAGAAAATCGTATCTTGAAAGCATTACCATCCATCCAGAGCTCGATATAGGAGCGAAACATCCAATGCATAGCGTCACCTTGAGCCCAAGAAAAAGTAGACGAAGGTGATGCAGAAGAAAAGGAGAGCAAACTTCTATCTGGGATGTAAAACGTGCCGCAGTTTGTCTGAGACGGTCGGTGGTTTAGGGAGGGAGACGGCGGTAGAGAAAGAAAGCCGCTCTTATGCAACAGATCCATATAAAATTTCTATTTTCTAAATACTATAAGGACGATAATGAACAAACTGTTTTCATCAGGAAAGGAATGAACAAATTGTTAAAATAAAGGGACGTTGATTTGTTTAAGACAAAAAAAAAAGTAGTTCTCACGTGCGAAGGCTTCTTAACTGGTTCTCACGTGCGAGGGTTTTCTTAACCGCGTCAATGTCATGAGATTCAAATCCGTGTAAGACCGGCTGTAACCGGTATCGGCCTGTGTTTCTCTTTCATCCTTTATCCTTCACTTTCGAGTTTCCTTTCCCAACTTCCATGTTTGTTTTTAGCAGAATGGAAAACACTTCCCCTTTCATCTTCCCTCACTGTTCTCCTCTTTCGCGTTTCTAAACCCTGGAGTCCATCACTGATTCAATCTCGAGGGTTTTCTTCTTCGAATCAGGTACGCCATTCTGATTTTTCTCTCAATCTCAGCAGCTAGAAGTTTTCGATCTCGTTATTTTCAGCTAGATATGGCACAGAAAATTTTGAGTTAGTGGTTTCAAATCTTACGCTAAGGAATAACGACACGGGAGC